CACAACCAAATGGAAATCTGTCTTCAGGGTCGTGAGGAAGCAGTTGTTTAAAACCAGAATTCGTGGGGGTGACCGGTCAGCTCAGTTGGTTAGAGCGTGGTGCTGATGACATCAAGGTGCCACTTCGATCCCAGCATGGGCCACTGTGAGCTGCCCTCTCCCTAAAAGAGTCAGCTGTGCCATTGTAGCATGAAAGCAATGTGTAACCAATGACCATGTCTGCACCCCACTAAAATTCAAGACAGAAAATTGGGGCCAGCCGGGTGGCTCAGTTATTTATGAGCACGAGCTCTGAGCAACAGGGTCGCCGGTTCTATTCCCACATGGCCAGTGAGCTGTGCCCAAGCTGAGCTGCCAACAGGTGGCAGGATGGCTCCGCTGGTGAGAGCACGTGCTCCTAACAACAAGGTTGCCGGTTCAAATCCCGCATGGGATGGTGGGCTGCTCTGACCTGGCACACACCCGTAAATAAGACTGAAGGACTACGATTTGTCTCTTCCCCTTCCTAAATTCCACAACACTGTTCCCCTTCCCCAATATCTCAATAACATCTAAAAAATTTTTTTTTTCATTAAAGATAAAAGCAGGATTCGATACCCAGCCAAACTATCAGAAAGTACGAAGGTAACTGGAGGCAGTTTCACATACACGAGAAATCTTAAAATGTAAAATCCACCAACATATATGACAAAGCCTTTGCTCGTTTAGCACGGCAAAATGAAAACCAAAAACATCCACAGTTCAGCTTGAAATATAAGAGAGGGAAGCACCTTAGCGCAGTGTGGAGGAAAAACAGAAGGCGGAAAGAGAAAGAGCTAGCTGGCAGGATGTCGAAACTCTGAGCGTTCTTACAGGGACGTCGGTCATTTGAGGGGGAGGGCACTTAACTTTCTAGGACCCAATCCTCTGTACCACCTGTATTTTATAAGGAGCAAGTTACACCATATGCTTATATTTTTAAATGTTTTCATGGATAAAAAATGTTAAAACACCCCAAACACAGGAGCGGTGCCATCAACTCGGCACAATGTTGCCTCAAATATTTTCCGTAAATTTTCTGGAGGCAAACAAGGGCAGATGGGATACACATCCTGCCACTCTGTCACAAGTTGAATGAGGAAAAGCTAATTATAGGAAGTAAACCAGCACTAATGAGGGTTTTCATGCAACAGGCTCTCAGCACCAATGAGGAAGGGAGGGCGTGGGGAGCCTCTGCTGGGGCAACGCACACACCAGGAGGGGTATAAAAGCCGACAGCCGAGCACCTCACACTCACACACGCACTCACACTCACACCCTCCTCCCAGCTCCCCTCCAGCCCCACCGCCCACCATGGCCACGTCCACCCTGTCCGTCTGCTCCAGCGACCTGAGCTATGGCAGCCGCGTCTGCCTGCCCGGTTCCTGTGACTCTTGCAGCGACTCCTCCTGGCAGGTGGATGACTGCCCAGAGAGCTGCTGTGAGCCCTCCTGCCGTGTCCCCAGCTGCTGCCAGCCCTCCTGCTGTGTCCCCAGCTGCTGCCAGTCCCCCTGCTGTGTCCCCAGCTGCTGCCAGCCCTCCTGCTGTGTCCCCAGCTGCTGCCAACCCTCCTGCTGTGTCTCCAGCTGCTGCCAGCCTTCCTGCTGTGTCCCTAGCTGCTGCCAAACCTCCTGCTGTGTCCCCAGCTGCTGCCAGCCCTCCTGCTGCACATGCTCCCCCTGCCAGCAGGCCTGCTATGTGCCTGTCTGCTGCACACCCGTCTGTTGCACACCCGACTGCTGCAAGCCTGTCTGTTGCACACCCGTCTGTTGCACACCTGTCTGCTGCAAGCCTGTGTGCTGCACACCTGTCTGCTCTGGGGCCGCCCCCTGCCCTTCATCCTGCTGCAGACCCTCCTCCTGTGTGTCCCTCATCTGCCGCCCGGTGTGCAAGCCCGCCAGCTGTGTGCCTACCTCTTCCTGCTGTGCCTCTGCCTCTTCCTGCCAGCCCAGCTGCTGCCGTCCGGCCTCCTGCGTGTCCCTGCTCTGCCGCCCCATGTGCTCCCGCCAGGCCTTTTGCATCCCCACCTCTGCCCAGAAGTCCTGCTGAAGACAAGCTCAATCTTTGCCTCTTGAGCTGCTGCCCTTGCTCCTGAGACCAGCCCCCCTTTCTCGGGAGCCCCTGGAGACCCTCTGCTGGCACCAGGACCTGGCCCTCCCCATCAGCGGATGCACAGTTGCCTAACAGGGGGTTTAACATGTCGCCCATGGCTTCTGAGAAGACATGACCCACAAATCCCTCACTGGGATTGGAGGGACTTGGGGCCCTGGGGGCCTCCTCTGCAGGACAGGTTGCTTGCATTCCATGTGACAAAGGCCAATTGCTATAGTCAATAAAATGTTTGTGTTGGGAAATACGACCCGTTTGTCTTCTCCTCTTCCCCTGAGCCCCACGACCACTCCACTTCTGGGCTGTGTGTGCTCTGTCTGATTCAAGCCAGACGGTAAAGACGCATTCTCAAATCCAAGTTCACAGCAGCTGAGTGACAAGATCTGCACCCTCGTCCCCT